GGATAAGGTGTTGAAAAGGTTCAACATGGAGAATTCCAAGAAAGGAGATTTACCGATCCAAAGCAATACCAAACTGAGTAAGACTCAGAGTCCGAGTACAGAGGCAGAGATAGCTGAGATGAGCCAATTACCATATGCTTCCGCAGTTGGCTCGATCATGTATGCTATGACTTGTACCCGTCCTGATGTGGCATTTGCTTTGAGCATGGTCAGCAGGTATCAGGGGAACCCTGGCAAGGCTCATTGGACCGCGGTAAAGAACATTCTCAAGTACCTGCGGAGGACTAAGGATTGGATCCTTACCCTTGGTGGCAGTGATGACTTGAGAATATTAGGGTATAGTGATGCTGGTTTTCAGACTGATAGGGATAATTTCCGCTCTCAGTCGGGCTGGATCTTTACCTTAAATGGAGGGGCAATTTCTTGGAAGAGTTCCAAGCAGGAGACGGTGGCTGATTCGACTTGTGAATCAGAGTATATAGCAGCGAGTGAAGCAGCGAAGGAGGCGATATGGCTAAAGAACTTCATCGGAGACCTTGGAGTTGTACCAGCTATTAAGGAACCTATAGAGATTTTCTGTGACAACAATGTGCGGTTATCTTAGCCAAGGAACCAAGAGATCATGGCAGATCCCGACACATTGACAGAAAATATCACTTCATAAGACACAAGATTGAAGAAGGACTCCTTGTGACAAGGAGGATATCGTCGATGAGAATCCTGCAGATCCCCTTACGAAGGGACTGACGAGGGTTAAGCATTTTCAGCATGCGAGACGCATCGGGCTGAGGGACGATATTAGTTTTACAGATTAGATAGTTTTCCTGAAACTTGTAAAATGTAATCGACGTTTGATGATGAATAAAATTTGTGATTTATTTATGAGTAAAGTGTTACTATCATTGTCAATTATTTACTATTGTTTCAGTTTTGCATGTTTTGACTTCCAGAATAATTAATTTATTCAAACCTCCACAATCGATCATACGTCGGAAGTAGGTATGAATCAAGATTGTCATGAATTGGGTTTGTAGATGCCTTAAAGGTGTTTAGACATGGCAATGGTTGCTGCAACATTCATGAGTACTCATAAGTTATGAGTATTGGTATAAACCCACGCTCACTTGTATCACTTCATGGAATTTATCTCGAGTGATCGTGAGACGATAACATCATATAAATCTTTAAACCTAGAGATATGAGTTGTTACCTATGAGTTGGTTGTGCATTGATTGCACGTAAACGCATCAGTAACTTGATGTTATAAAACGTGCCTTTGTGTACAATTCAATAAGTAGTAGAACAAGCATATCAGTCGAAGTTTATCTGTTCCTTCTAGAAATAGAAGCGATATCTGGGCCCCTCGATGATTTTGTGTTGACCCATGTACCAGGCCTGGTCAGAACTAAACCGATGTGTTCAGTGAAGTTCTTCGTCAAACAAATCGGAAAATCGAGAAACAACTGCTAGACAATAAGCAAGACATAGTTCCATGTGTTTGTCCGGCTGATATCATGAGAACAGAGGATTATGTGATCACTTATCTAAAATGGCGCTTCATAGTTCGACAGAGTCTTCATTGTTCGAGGGAGTTTTCGAGAGCTACGATTGTTGGTTGGTTCCTGAAGTTATAGGCAAATATAGTTATTAGACTTATCCAAGTGGGAGTCTGTTGGATAAGGTGTCTAAGTCCATAACTTATTTGGTATATACTTGACCCGACCGGCATGGTCCATTTGGGTTGCATCTCATCCAAACTATTATGGATAATTTTATGAGAGTTATACACATATGTTTATTAATATATTATGAGTTATAATATATTAATATGAAGTTACGTTATTTAATTAGTTTTAGTCTTAAATTAATTATGAATTAATTTAGAGATTAAAAGGAATACTAATTAAATTATGGGCTATTTGTTTTATATAGTGTGGGCTAATACTCATTTGTTAATGGGCTAGGCTTATGTGGAAGTCCATGGATGATCCATGGAGCTTTTAACCCATGGATCCTTGGAAAAGGAAAAGACATGGGTTATTAGGGTTTCACCCTAACCATGCATACTATATAAGCATGCTTATGGAGCATGAAATGAAGCCTAAGGTAAGCCTAAGAGAAAACTAGTGATCTAGTGTGTGTGTGTGCATGTGTGTGGCCGATTTATACAAGGTGTATATACTCTCTCAAAGTTTTCCAAGAGTTTGTGGTGTTTGTGATTCCATTTGAGGCATTCACACTATTGGTGCTTGGCCCTCAAACTCCTAAGAACCCAACTCATCAAAAGGTATGTAATCTCTTCTAACTCTTTTATGTTGAAATGTTCCCCATGCCATGTTAGATAGGTTATAAACCTTGGAAAATTATTATTTTGCATGTATTTAGACAAACATAGATCCAAGGTTTATTAGGGTTGCATGCACACTTAGGAAGTGTTAGATTGCTCAAAACCCAACAATTGCTTCATCATGACATCCTCCACGATAAGGGGATATCGATTCTCTCTCCTCCTGTTACAACCTATACGGACTGCTCGTCGGGCCTTCGACCTGACTAGACCGCCTCGCAGGCCTACAGTCTATCTGGACTGCCCCAGGTATCTTAGCCTTCAGCATAAAGCATGACCACTTCAACCACACCACACATAACATGTCAACATATAAATAACAAATAAACATATAATCAGTCAACATACAAACACGTAGATCTACAGATCACTACTGCATGCTAACATCTTATATATCAGGATACCGATCTAACATATCACTATAACATAACAACATTGTATATACCAGGATACCAATCTAAAATATCACTACAACATAATAACATACGGTAAACCATGATATCAATCCAAAGGGTTGGCCTTGGTGCCTTCGACCCGAAAGTACAGTGAAGAAAACTCACCTCACAGTCTGAAAATGGGATGGAATAGGTGAGGTAAATAGGATGGAATAAGTGAGGTGTAGTGAGGAGTAGAGGTGAAGTCCCAACAAAAAAAATATAAAATTAACATAATTTTTAATATATAATAATAATAATAATAATAATAATAATAATAATAAGGATAATATAGTCATTTTAAGTCGTTCGGGACCAAATCTGCAAAAACAAATACTAATACTAATAATAATAATAATAATAATAATAATAATAATAATAATAATAAGGATAATATAATAATTTTAAGTCGTTCGGGACCAAATCTGCAAAAACAAATACTAAAATGATGGTTCATGTTAAAAAAATTAGGAACCAAATGGGTAAATTATCCTAAACCATAGCAGTGGTAGTTTAGTATACTCTTACGAAAGAAGATGATACAATCCTTTAATAAATTACCTAACAATCGTCATTGAACTTTAATCCTCATGTTAGGATGTTATCTTTTAGGTTAGGGCGTGGCCTCAACATCAGCTCGACAGATTTACAAACACCAGTTGTCCACCCCATTGCTTCATCATGACATCCTCCACGACAAGGGGATATCGATTCTCTCTCCTCCCTTTACTTCTATTCTTCACTCTTTTCTTCCTTACTTTGGTATATCAAATCCCCATTTCTCTATTTTCCTCTTCCTTGGTAAATCAAGATGGAGCTTATGTGAAGCTTAGATGGAATACAAAATACTGAAATGGCAATGCACCAATTGTTATATCATTCTCTCCGCTAAGGGGCATCTCGTTGATTTTAAGGGCTCTATGCAAAAAATAAAATTAGGTCCCTAAACATAATCTACTCTAATAAATGAAGGTTTTTTTGCCATTTGTCACACTCGTATTTAATTTGCCAAATATCATTTTGTAGTTATTTTGGATTAATTTTTTTCACATCTCATTTTATAAGTTTTTCTATTTTTTTTTTTTTTGAATTCCACATAATATTTAAATGTAATAATTGCAATAAATGTAATAATAAATTGATATCAATGTTATTAATGAACTTACGTGTTAATTTCAAAATTATCAAAATTAAAGCTTATAAGTTTTTTTTTTGTTTATTTATTTAAAATTTTTGTTTAAATTTAAAAGATAAAAACATTTCCATTATAATAATTCATCATTTTTCATTTTTTTTTATAATTCAAAGTTTTTCAAATATATATATATATATATATATATATATATATATATATATATATATATATATATATATATATATATATATATATATATATAAGTTAACTCATATAATACATCAGTCACACAACTAGTTTTTTTTATATATCACAACTACGATAAGTCGATAATTGTTATAAAAACGATAAAATTGAACAATAATATAAAATCTAATTTCACATTGTTACATGAATCACAATGCTCTCATAGCATTCTTAGAAGCAAAATTATTCACCAATTCTTCATAATCATTACTCCTTAATATATTGTTCAAAATAGTTATCATTTCCAAGCCATTAGGTATTTTTTTTGTGACATTATGGACCATAAATAGGACTTTAACAACTATTTTGAGAAACTTGTTTTTATAGAATCAACAATTAGTATAATTGTCAGCAAGACTCTATATGTATAAATTGCTTTAGGAAAAACAACTAACTTTTTTTCCTGTAGTTTAAAATATCAGTAGGGTTAGTAGTTTCATTCACTAAGAACTCGTCAACTATATTTAACTCTAGATAAAGTTCGATGACGCTAATATTTGATCGCTCTCCATATTTAAGTGCAAATTCAAGACAAATGCAATACAACTTATGATATTTGACATCAAATTTTCTTCAGTTTTTTTGTAAGTAAAAAACCAATTTTTTTTATACTTGTTGTATTCTGTAAATTTTGCTTTAAGAGAAATCATTGCTTGAAAGTGAAATAATCAAACACACAAGCCACAACATAAGTCAATAGGTTTTGAAATTGAAACACATAGTTAGCATTGGATTTTTGAGAAAATCGGTTCTATTTTTTGAAATAAAATAATCAATTAAACAATAATATGAAACTGAATGTCACACAGTTGGCATTGGATTTTTGAGAAAATCGGTTCTATGGAATCAAGTTCCCAGTTACCTTCTCTAATTCCGGCCTTTTGTCATAGGCACTGTAATGCCATGCAAGTCCTTTCTTCAACATCGTTTCCTATGCAATCAAGTTCCCAATATTAGTTGCATTACGATTGTCGACATTATAAGAAAAACATCCAAATTACCTGTACAAATATGCCATCACAATACATATCCCCAACAAAACGCCCATATTGATCTTCATCAAAGATCAAAATTTTCAAACACTTCCCATCAATTATCTTCACCAATTCATCTTTCGCTTCTTTCCCGTAAGGCATTGCATTTTCAGGTGCATCAATTCCCCTATTTCCATTTACTCATATCACCCCAAAATACAAACGCTTCACAAAATTATTTTTTTATAATCCAAATATGGAATTATGAAATACCTTAGTCTGATCGTATACTTTCGTGCTAGAATTTCCTCGTTATTGATATGCAGCACCCTGTATATAATATTTAACCCAATTCCGAAAAAAAATAAATAAATAAAATAAATAAATAAATAAATAAAATAAATAAATAAAAATTGCCGTTGTTGTCGAAGTTAAAAAGCTAGATTTGTGTGACATTTACTGATTTACCCATAGCCTGCATCTTTGATTAGGGTGTATAGTGCGTCTGCTTTAGCGTAGTTCTTTTGAGCACGTGCTTCCTTGCATTCAACTGCTGCCATTTGTATCTTCGGGGGGGACACGTGTCGACTCCCGAGCATCTGACGTTCTAACATACTCTGTTACACCATCGCCATCTGCTACTGCCCTTAGATCCACCTTTTTCAATCGCAAGAGTGAAAAATCAGTAAGAAATTGAATTTGTCGGTGTAGAGGGGAGTTGTTCTTACCGGAAGCGTGTGCAACTCGAACTTGAAACCGTCGGAAAGTGGCGGAGTTTCACCGGCGGTGACTTCAACTAGCGAATCAAGAAATGGGAGACCGTAGAATGATAATAATCCCTTTAAAACAAAAAAACACAACACATAAATTACGAATCTTTTATACATAAGTTAGTCGATGCATTATGTGATATATTTGTTCCTTTAGGTTAAACCCGGGTCAAGATTTATAGGGCTAATGAGAAGGATCCAGAAAAGGATCCGAGTCCGAGGTATCCTTCGCTCCCAAGCGAAGCTGGTTTAGCGCAAATCAAACCTTCAAGTCCTCAGGGCATGGACAAATATAGAAACATCTCTCGATATCAGACATCCATCTCATAATAGCAGTTGGGTATGAGGTTATGTCGAACTCCGTTGGCTTCGTGTTGCTGAACTTCCGAAACAAAAACGAATCACCCCCATGAGGCCCTGTAGCAGCTAGGGTTGGGGTGGCTGCGGCAACCGCTGTGACTGCAACATATCGCCCATCAAAAGTCTCGATCAGGTCTTATATGTTAATGATAAATAACAAATAATAAAACTATTAATATATTAAAACTTATAATATATTAATAACCCACAAGTGTTATTTCTTTCATTTAGTCTATATTTAAATGCATGATGTCACGCAACCCAAATGGACCATGCCGGGTCGGGTCAAGTACATATCAATAATAGTTATGGACTTAGACACCTTATCCAACAGTCTCCCAGTTGGATAAGTCTAATACTATATATGTAAGTATGACTTCAGGAACCGATCAGCAATCGTAACTCTTTCAAGGTCTCTCGGAACTGAGAAGATGATGATGCGCCATTTAAGATAAGTGATCATATAATCCTCAGTTCTAGATATCAGTCGGAAAAATACATGGAACAATGTCTTTCTTATTGTCCAACAGTTAGTTTCCCGATTTTCGATTTGTTTGACAAAGAACTTAATTGAACACATCAACTTAGTTCTGACCGGGCCCAGATATCGCTTCTAATCCAATAAGGAACAGATAAACTTTGACTCATATGCTTATTCTACTACTTGTTGAATCACACATAAAAGTACGTTTTATAACATCGAGTTACCAATGCGGTTTCGTACGATCAATGCGTAACCAACTCATAGGCAACAAGTCATATCTCTTGGTTTGAAGACTTATATGATATTACCGTCTCACGATCACTCGAGATAAATTCCATGAAGTGATACCAGTGAGCGTGGGTTGATTCCAATGCTCAGAACTTATGAGCACTCATGAGTGTTGTAGCCATGTCCAGGGGCATAGTATTATTGGGGCCAGGATGGGCAGTGCCCCCCCCCCCCCCTTGACTTTTGGGCTAGAAGTGGGTATTGTAGTTCAAAAAAACATAGTTCTAGGCCTGCTATCTTCAAAATTGGGTTTTGGCCCCTCCCGATTCCTAATCAGAATTGTCCAATACTCCAAATTCTCCAAGCGACCAAGCAGTATCAAGAAATCAAAATCGATTCATCCCCATTTGCCCAATTTGTTGCCTATCTCGCCTGCTGTTCGTTTGTCGCTGTCTCACCAAATCAGTCGCCTGGTCTCACTCTCGCCAATCGCCATCGCCAAGTGCCAAAGTGGCTAAGTCGCCATTCACACTTCACAAAAATCAGGTATGTAATCCTGAGACTCGAATCCTGTTCAGCTGTTCTTTCTTTTCTAATTGTAAGATTGTTGGTGTTGGCATGTTGCACTGTTGCTGCTGTTTTCTGTCAATATGTTGTCTATTTATGCGTTACTGTCTTACTGAGTTTCTTTTTAATTTGGCTGTCATTTGCGATTTGGCAATTTGCCAATTTGATTTATAAGTTATGAACTTATAGATTTGGTTATTGTTGGTGTTGGTGTCTTGCACTGCTGCTGTTTTCAGTTTAATTTTTTTTTAGATTTGGTTATTGATTTGGTTATGGTTAACAGCTTGTCAGCTTCAAATAAAACTGAAAAGTGAAAACAAAGATTGATTTGGTTTTTGTTCAATGAGTTACTGGTTATTGTTCTAATCTTGATTTTGAACTTTTGATTGAATCAATTGTCAGCTTCAAAAGGAAGGTAGATGATAAAGAAACTAATAATGTAAATGAAGAGAGTAAACGTCACAAAGCTTCAACAAGTGAGCCACAACTGCAAGAAATGGAAAATCAACAAGAGAATGAGCCACAACCGCAAGGAAAGGAAAATCTACAAGAGAATGAGCCACAACCACAAGAAAAGAAAAATCCTAAGGTAGTTGATTTGAAGAATCTAGAAAGAGATCTCGCTAAACGCAATCAAATGTGGGATTTTCCGGTCAATTTAAGGGAACAAGTGAGACGAGCTTATATGAATTTAGGACCTTTCCAAATACGTCTTAAGGAGTATCAAGCTAAAGGTTCAACGAAACATCCTCGCAGATTCCAATATTCTTGGTTCAACATTTTCCCTAATTGGCTAGAGTATTCTCCAACAACACACACTTATTGTTTTATTTGTTATATATTTAATGATAAACCAAGTGTATGTCATGGTTACAATGCATTTACTGTTAAAGGATTTGATAATTGGAAAAAAGTTAATGACGGGAAAAATTGTGCATTCTTGAAACATATTGGTTGCTCGCAACATAGAAATGCTGTTGCATTTGCTAAAAACTTGATGAACCAAGCAGCACACATTGAAAATATCATAGTGAAGCAAAATGAATCGCAAATATTGAAAAACCGTTTACGATTAAAAGTTTCAATTGATACGATTCGTTGGTGCCTGCTGTTCCGGCCCCCAAGAAAAAGTAACACCCTTTCTGGTCAATCTGGTGAGAGGAACAACAACTTTGGAGAAATCTATTATAAACCTCCGATAGTAACCCGCTAGACCCAGAAAACTCCTAATCTCGGATGGGGATATCGGCATCTCTCATCGCATAACTGCCCCAATCTTGGCCGGGTCGACCAAAATCTCATTCTAGTTAACGACATGTCCCAAAAACTGGACCTCTCGCAACCATAAACCACACTTGGAGAATTTGTCATACAACCTCTCTATCCTCAATACCCCAAGAATCTCTTGTAGGTGCACCTCATGTTATTCCCTAGACCTCGAGTACACCAAAATATCATTGATGAACACGATCACGACCAATCGAACGTGGGCCTACACACCCGGTTAATGAGGTTCATGAACGTTGTCGATGCATTGGTGAGCCCGAAAGGCATAACTACAAACTCGTAGTGCCCATAATGAGTCTGAAAGGCCGTCTTCTGAATATCCTCCTCGCAGACCCTCAACTGATGATACCCAAATCTCAAATCAATCTTGGTAAACCAAGACGACCCCTGCAACTGATCAAATAAATCGTCGATCCTCTGTAGTGGATAATGGTTCTTGACTGTCAACTTGTTCAACTCCCGATAATCGATACATATCCGGTGTGAACCATCCTTTTTCTTGACAAAAAGGATTGATGCTCCCCACGGTGAGCTACTCGGTCTAATAAGCCCCTTCCTCAACAACTCCTGAAGTTACACGGATAACTCATGCATCTCGGGCAGCGCAAGGCGATAACGTGCCTTAGCAATAGGCATCGCCCCTATAATCAAATTGATCTGGAACTCCACCTGCCTCTCAGGAGGAACACCCGAAAATTCCTCGGGGAAAACATCTGGAAATTCACACACTACTGGAACATTGGAAATGGAACCCGACCTCTCAGTGGCAACTTGCATATCCATCACGTATGTTAAAAAGCCCATACACCCCTACTGTAGACTCTGCCTTGCCCTGGCAGCAGAGCAGAAAGTTGATCCCGATTTGGTTCCCTCGCCATGCACAGTAAGTACTCCCCCACTAGGGTCTCGTATGGTCACCATCTGATGCTCACAATCAATCACATCTATAAACCGGCTCAACCAATCCATGCCCACTATGACACAGACATCCTCATTGTTATAAGCACCAGATCTATTGAAAACTCAACACCGAATATCTCCAATACACATCCCTGCAATACATCAATGACAAAAACTACATGCTCGTCGGATATAGAAACCCTTAGTGGTCGACTCAACGCCTCGCGTCTAATACTAATGTGACGACTAAAGGGTAAGGAAACGAAAGATCGACTCGCACTCGAGTCAAAAAACACCAAGGCAGGAACAGTTCACAAGAAAAGTACCAACAACAACATCAGGTGTTGGGCGGACCTCCTCCGCAGTCAGCTAGAAAGCTCTCCTACGAGCCCTCGGAGCTTCGGCTTCAACGACCGACCATCAGTAACATGCAAAGCAGCAGGAGTAGAAGCCTAGGCTGATCCCTGAGTAAACTTAGGACACTCGACCTTTCGGTGACCGGTCTAGTTGCAATGAAAGTAAACCGCAAATCCCTTGGGGAAGTCCTTTGCCATATGCCCCTCATTACCAAATTTGTAGCAAATCCCTACTCAGCAAGATCCATCATGACTCTTGCCGCACTTGCCACAAGTGCGACCCTTGTGGCCCCCAGCTCTCGTATCAGCACGCTTAGCCAGCTTGGTCGTCGGCTGCGACTGTACTGGTCTCCTGTCTCTACCTTGAGACTCATCCTTCTCTCTAGTCTGAAACTCTAGCTCAATATCCCTCCTCCTGGCATTGGTCTGTAGCTCAGTTAATGTCCGATACGAAGAGTTCGTCATGAACTCCCGAATATCTCACCTCAGTATGCTCAAGTACCGGCTCACACGTACCTGCTCCGTAGACACGTGCTCAGGGCAAAACAACACCCTCTCATGAAACATTCTCGTAATCTCTGTTACGGTTTCTGTCTTCTACTTGAGAGACAGAAACTCCTGGGCCAATCGCTCCTTCTCCACCTGGGGAATGTACTCATCTC